TCTATTGTATCGTGGCCCCCCCCCCCCCCCCCGCTCGTGTCATCCTGTGGTTCCCATGATGAGTGTGTGTGTGTGCACTGGCATTTTAAATTCCCCAGTAAGTCCCACATGCAGCCAAAGTGGAGGCCACTATTTCATCCCCCGACCCCTGCCCAACAGCAACTGGAGCTTGTCCTGGCTGAGGTGGCCTCACCTCCAGCGGCTGTGCTGAAAGCACCCGGGCATGACTCATCACCCCAGCCTCAGCATGTGCCATGCCAGGAAGGTGGGCAGCGAGGGGAGAAACCATCCCAAATAACCATGCTTTCCCGAATCACCATGCCGTGGGGAGCAAGCTAGTGGGGAGGTGGAGGCAGGTGGAGTTCCACAGGACGTGAGGAAGAACTTCAGGCTGCTTCTCCCCAGGTCACAGAACCTCTCCTTTTCTTGAAGTCCCTCCATGATGGAGTGTCACCTCCCTCCCCAAGGCAAGGGGACCCCTCACCAAAGAGGAAAGGCTGCCCTTTGCTCCACAGGCGTCCCCCTCAGAGGGGAAAGCACATTTTATCATCTTTCTGTCTTAACATCTGTGCTTCACGGAAGCTTACTCAGAAAGCATTCAGAACTTCTCAAAGGGCTGAAAATTCATTTATTTTTTTCAAGTGGCTTCCTGTTGAAGCAGGAGTCCAATTTGCGGGAAAATGACCAAGTAGCAGAGCTCCTGTGACATAGATTAACTGGGGCCATTCCTGAGGCTGGTGGAGAGCAAGGCCCTATCTTTCACGCCCTTTCCTTTCATCCCCAGTTCATCAACTTGACAATGAACATTTGAGGACACTCTGGCAGAGATGGGACCTACCCAGCTGAGCCTGAGCTTTCGGACCACGGACTTCGGGACTCCTCCACTGCGGAGCGTCATGCCAGGACTCTGTGCCCCCCCATTGTCTAGCCCGTTCACCTTCTCTGATGTTATGCTACTTCTCTGTGAAGTCACTGCCCTACAGGGGCTGATGGCCCCCTGTGCCGCATGCCCGGGCTCGGCACTTTCTCTCCCTCCTCCAGGTCTGAGTGCGCAGAATACTGGCTTCAAGGTTGCTTCAGTTAAGCACAAGAAGGCAGAGGAAAGAAAGAAACTAGTTTCAAGGAACTAGAAGAATAAAAAGCAATCAAGGAAATGAAAAGATCAACAAAATTGATAAACTTTCAGCTAAACTGATCAAGGAAAAAATATAATTCAACAAAATCAGAAATAGGAGCGGGGCACCACTGCTAAGCCTAGAGAAGTGAGAACGATAAGTGAATATAATCAGTGACTTCATGCTAACAAATTAGACAACCTAGATACAATTTTAAAATTTCTTGCAAGAAATAAATGACCAAAACTAACTTAAAATGAGACTGAAAAATTCTGAATAGACCTAGAACAAGTGAAGAAATTGAAATAATAGTCTTTAAATCCTCGCCTGTGCAGATAACTTCAGTGAATTTGCCATAATATTTATAGAAGAAGCAACACCCATCTCCCACAGCTCCTCCAGGGTACTAAGGGAGAGAGACCACTCATTCTATATGACTGGGATTACCCTGACGAAGCCAGACACGAGAAGAAAACTGGGGACCAACATCTCCATATTGAAATAATTCCTCACAAAATATTAGCAAACCTAATTCAGGGCAATTAATAAAAGATTAAATACTGTGACCAAATAGGATTTATCCTAGGAATGCAAGTTTGGCTTAATATGCAAAAATTAATCCATGATTATACCTCTATAACAGAATAAAGCACAAAACCCCCGATTGTTTCAATCACAGAAACAAATGTTCACAAAGCCCAACCGTTTGTGATTAAAGCCCTTTCAGAACAAGGAAGAGAAGGACGTGTTCTTGACTTTGTGAAAGGCATCTGTGAGCACAGTGGTTGAACTTTGTGGATCCCACATGCCTGACTGTGGCTTGAATCCCCGCCCAGCAGCATGTGCACATGCGCGCCCCAAATCCTGACTCGATGGTGAATGGACGAAAGAGGATTGCAGTGTGACCGCACTCCACTGGGGGGCCCTCTCTCTCCCTCGTGCACTTGGTCTCTGGGAATAAATAAATGAACTATAGCTGACGCCATACTTAGTGGTGAAAGACCAAGTTCTTCCTCCAAAGATCGGGAATAAGGCAGTGGTCACCACCTCTGCTCGGCATTACCCTAGAGGTTCCACCCAGCCTGTCAGGGCAAGCAAAAGCAGTGAGACACACACCAGTAAGCAAGGGCCTGCTGCAGACCTGCCCGTACGCTCAGGGTTCATGAATCCGTGTGCAGAAGACCCTGCAGGTGCTATTGGACGGTCGGAAAACTCACGGTGCATTTTCGCATAGAAAAAAATACATCATGGCTTTTCCGATGGCCCAGCACATAGAAACTGCATGAAGCGCAAGGCAGCCCTGCAGAGTTGAGCACTCTGCTCGGTTTCAAAATGTACTGGAAAGCCATGGCGATCTCGAAGCATGGCCGTGGGTTAGGACAGATACAGATAAACTAGACTTCATTGAAAACAAAAAATGATTTAAAATGCCACAGATTGTAAGAAAATATTCACAAGGCATACATCTGATAAGGATTCATATCTAGAATACATAAGAACTTCTGTAACTTAGAAAAGAAGACAAAGCAATTTTTTTTTTTTTTTTTTTGCCATAGGGCACATGCATTTGCCAGAAAGACAAAGAGAGACAGTGGGAGGGACAATGACCCTCTGGAGGATGGCCACGCCAATATCCAGTCTTCTCCGTGCTCTTGAGATTTGGGACACACCGCACACTTGCCCCACATGATTTTCAAGTCGCCAATCTGGGACTAGAACTGCAGTCCACCATGTGGGAGTCCAGTGCCTTACCCACCATGCCACCTGCTGGCCTCTTAATATTGAATCTTTTATTGAGGGCTTATACCACAGGGCAAGTGTATGTGTCCTATGGCAAAAAGGAAAAATCAATATTGAGGAAAACCACGCCCTAAGCAGATGATAGGGGCAGCCTCCAGCCCTGCTCTGTCGGGTCAGAGACACCCACTGGCCCCCACTCCTCTCCCTCAGGGCAGACCCCATCCCCAGCCACGTCCATCTCAGCTCTGAGGTCAGCTCTAGAAAGCCGACATTCCACAGAGAGAGTGTGAGTCTCTCTGCAGGTCCTTGGACCAAATCCTTTGGGCTTTATCTGACCCTAGGCACCTCGCTACCCTGCCCCAGGCAGAGCCACGTGGGGCACTGATGGGCCAAGGCTTCAGAAAGACCAGAGCGTGTGACCCACTGGCAGAGGCACCCAGATCACTGGTGCCAGCCCAATCCGGCACACTGGATCGTTTGTCGAAACAAAGCCCCTTTCTCCCGAGAGCCAGGACTGCCTGCCTGGTCCCTGCAGCTGCAAACCAGGAGGCCACGCTTGCTCCCGATGCCACCCAGCCACATCCCAGCCCCTCAGTGCCCTGCTGAGGGCAGGGGGAGGCAGAGACGCCCTGGGGGCAGTGCTCAGCGATGGTCCTGAGCAGCTCGCTGCTTCCAGGTGCGTTAGGTTTCTTGGGAGCAAAGGTCACCCTCCTCCCAAGGGAGGAAACACGGTCAGGCAGCCAAAGCACCGGGTGCAAGTCCCAGGTGCCATTGGACTCAGTGTCCGGAGTCTGCTCCAGTCTGAATCTGCCTCCTGCTAGCTGTGTGACCTTAGCCATGTCACTTAACCTTGCCTTGCACTGTGTGACTCCATGACTCCTCACCTCACTCTGGAAACATGAGGCCACATTAAAGGGTTCAGTCCCAGTCTGGTTGGGAGGGTGGAGAGGCTGAGGGAGGCAGAGACAGGCGGTGAGCCCGGGGTTCATCTGATTCCCGCAGAGCTCAGGGCTCTGAGAAGCAGGCAGCATGGAGAGCAGGGGTCCCCAGGCCCCCAGACCATGGACCAGTGCCGGTCCGCGGCCTGTCGCACCCCACCCCAGCCTGCAGCCCAGGTCGGGGTTGCTGCAAGCCAGCAAGGGAGGCTTTGTCCATCACAGCGGCTCCCACCGTGCGTATTGCCGCTGGGCTCTGCCCTCTGTCAGGTCGGCAAGGGTGTCGGATTCTCCGGGAGCACAGACTCTCCTTGTGCGATGGCCGCTGTGCATTGCAATGTGGGAGTGGTGGAAATGGGGTGCAGATGGGCGAGGTGCACTTGGGTCACCCCAGGACCATCTCCACCCACTCATGAGGGAATGTCTTCCATGAAGCCAGTCCCTGGTGCTGGGAAGGTTGGGGACCGCTGGTGGAGAGGACCCTCTCCGGGCCACGTCAGGACTGGCTTATGGGAGACACCGAGAGCCTCTCCATTCAGCACCTGCACACTCGGCCACTTGGGGGGTAAACTCGGACCTGGCATCCTCCTCTCTCCCAGTCTGCTCACCTGGAGGGCCTCCCGTAGTCACCTCTGAACAGTGTCCTCGGTGCGCATGCCGCCAGTATCTGAAAATGCAGGGATGGGGGGAGGTCTCTGCAGCACAGACGTCTCTGGCAAAGCCTTTGTGAGACAAGGGTGGTCCCTACCCTCTTTGCCAACCCTCCATGGAGTGGCCGGCTCTACCCCCGTGGTCAGGACTGGGATGTCCTAACTCTCCTCTTCCTCATCCCTATTTTCTTTCTTTCTTCTTCTTCTTCTTCTTCTTCTTCTTCTTCTTCTTCTTCTTCTTCTTCTTCTTCAAGTGTATTCATTTCTTCCATGAGCGAGAGAGAGACAGGCAGGCAGAGAGCACCCCCAACAGGGAGTCACACTGTGGCCTGCCCCCAGCCTCTGCCAGCCCCAGATCATGGGCACATATGTGCCCGGTGACCTCAGGGAGGTCTCTGGGCCGGAACCGGGAACCTTCCCCCATGGGTCAGCCTCACAGAGTGTGTGTTTTACTGCAGCACCACCCTCTGGGCCCTCGGTTCCTGTTTTCTGCTCTTGTGGCTTCTACCACTGTTTCCATGCCGCTCCAAGCCCGTCTCTGCCGGCCTCCCCTGGGCCGGGCTGGGCCTGGGCTTGAACCAGGTGGAAAATGTGCCTGCCTCGCACGCAGCCTGGGTCCCCCCAGCCCGCGGCACCTCCTGTTGCCCCCCTTCCCCCGTGCAGCCCTTCTGCGCCAACTCCTCTCACGCCCCTCTGCTCCCTGGAAAATGTCCGCGGCCCAACGGGGCCTGCTTTCCTCCAAGCCCTTCTTGCCCCTCGGGATGAGCCCAGAGCCAGGCTGACGGCCTCCCATGTGTAATGAGACCTTCGGCCTGCTGGATCACAGCACTGCCACTGTGCCCTGGCCCCTACCCACGGGAGCGACTCCATGGTGGGCATGGGGCCAAACCTGGTCGCGCCCTGGTCCTGAGTGCCGACACAGCCACTGGCTGCTGAGGCCCAGTTCGAGTCTGTGGAACTGCGTGGATGAGGGATCCCTGAGTCTGAGCCCTTCGGAAGGTCCGAATGGGCTCCTTGGTGTGGACCTGGGAGGATCGCCCGCCGACTTCTGCCTGCTGGCCTGTCACACTGGCTGTTTGTGCCCAGGAAGCACCCACAGCCCTCCTCTAGCACCGGCTTCATGCCTTCCCCAGTAGGAGTGTGGAGGGAGGGCCGCCCCTGCAGAAGCAGAGAGTGCTGAGGTCGAAACCTCTGACAGAGCCCAGCGCGAGGTCCTCTTCTGAACAAGAACCACGGAGTGCACAGAAAACCGCAGTGCTCCGTCACTAGAACTGCTTAAAGTCACCTGCCAGGCCTGCGATCAGTCGGCTTAAATTTCTGGAAAACCCAGGAAATGTGGGGCTGAGATACTCACGGAAACCTTCTATTACGTCCCACACTATATGATGTACTTCACCAGAATTAGGAAACAAATCAGTTGTTTACAAAACACCATTTTCCCGACAGTAACTGGTCACCACATTTTCAGAGAGAACTTTCCTGAACTGGAGCTATGCCACTGCATCTGAATTTTTTTTTTTTTTTTTTTTGGAGAGATTTTCACTGTAGGGTGCGTGCGCTCGCCAGACAGACAGAGAGAGACATAGAGACAGAAAGCGAGAAATCACCCCCCAGGGGGGATGGTCACGCCGCAATCCCTTCTCCTCTATTCTCCTCTCGGGATCTTGGGCACGCACGCACACGCGCCTGGCGTGAGTTGTAAGCCACCGGGTCCGGGACACGAACCGTGGTCGACTACGTGGGAGTCCAGTGACATAGCCATTACTCTAACTGCTGGTTCCCTGCATCTGACTTTTGATGGCGTTTCCTGGGACCACACAGAATAATAGGCCACAGGGTCCTTGTTACGTTCTAGCTGCCCATGATGAGCCCTGGTATTTCTAAAGCACACTCCACTATTTTTAAAATTACTTTTTTTGTGTATTTATATATATGTGTGTGTGTGTGTATAATTACATCTTTAAATTATGCTTATTACAAAAAGCTTATCTACCCTAGTCTTAAGGGAGCTGGATTCCATGTGGCCAACTGTGGTTTGAACCCCTGTCCCGGCAGCCTGAAACACATTGCAGGTGCACATGTCCACATGCCCCAAATCCCACCAGGATGGAGGACTGGAGAGAAGGCATGGCAATATGGCGATGCCCAGTGACGGGTGCTTTCTCCCTTTCTTGCTCTGCTTTCTGTCTCTCCCTGGAAAACACACATATCCACTAGCAAGAAAAAGTCAACATTTCGTTTTCCATTAGTAATGTCATTTGTATACAATCGTTACTCTTGATCATGGAATTCTTACAGAGCGCCTCTCGTGTGCCGCCACATGAGACAGGGTGTGGAAGTCCTCCCGCCACCAGGCCCAGGCTGCGATCGAAGAAGGACAAGACATTCCTTCCTCATCCACCGCACTCGGCCCAGTGACGGTGACAGCTGCTGGGACGTGCCCTGTGCAGGGGCCAGTTGTTACACAAGGATCTCCCCCACCTGAGAAAGCAAAGGTGCATGCTGTGAGTAAGGACCATCCACAGGCG